TCTGAGGGTTTTGGAGCTTAATGGATTGAGAAAAGCGAAGACTAGGTACGGGTGATTTAAATGGGCCAATTTGACCGGTCTATGATTATTGAGTTAATGAAAGGGCTTATAGCGGATGTAGGGAATGGACTGGTTTGAGCATGTTAGGAGAATATATGTACATTAGATTTGGAGTAGATGCTGAAGTCTAAAGGCTTTGGAGGGAAAAGAACCAAGTTTAGGTCACTTGAGCCCTAGTTTAGCTAATTACTATGTGAGGAGTTTGTGAATTGCTTGAGGCTTGTAAGAGCTAGGGAAAGGTCTTAGGAATAAGGGAGATTCAGTGGAAGATTTTAGTGGTTGCAGAAGGAAGGAAAAGAGAGTTCATCAATTATTTAATGGGATGTTAAGTATTTTCTTGGGAGGGCCCAGCCACGAAGCATTTAACCAAATGGAAAATAAAAATAGCAAAAGTTCTGTTCAATTTTATTGAAAATAAAATAACATTAATCCAATCTAAGTTCAGAGATTACCCTTTGATGGATGATCACTAATGACAAGTACAAATAATATAAGCTTCTATTGTTCCTTGCTGCTTTTGTTGAAGTCGCCATAGCCTAAGTTTTGAATCTGATACTAAAGTTGATCTAGCCTTGAGAAAAATGGTGATCTAATACTTCTAACTATTGTGGTAATGGTGTAATGATAATGCGAACACCCTTGAGTGGCAGGAAGAATTTTATTTGAGCTAGAGAAAGGTGTCGGCCAAAAGTACACTGTAAAAGTTAACTATAAATCTTTACAGGGATTTAAATTTAGTTTTATTATAGTTGAAGATCTATAGCATGGATTTACTTGGAAATTTTAGGATAATATTTTTTTAGATTTGTGCTCAAATAATTAGTGAAATTCTGAGTGGTTTGGAGGTTTATGGATGGAGAAGAGCCAAGACTCGGTGTAATGTGATGTAAATTTGCCGATTTGATAAGTCTATGATTATTGAGTTAATGGAAGGGCTTCTGGCGTATGAACGGGATGGAATGACTTGATCGTGTTAGGAGAATATATGTAGATTAGATTAGGAACATTTATAAAAATTTAAAAAGTTTGGAGGAAAGAGAACATTTGAAGGTTGGGTTACTTAAGCCTAGTTTAGATTATTTTTGTGGGAGCAGTTTATGGGTTGCTTGTGGCTTGTAAGTGCTAGGGAAATGTTTTAGGAGGTCAAAGGAGATGCAATAGAAGATGTTAGTATGTTTGTAGAAGAAAGGAGGAGAGTTCATTAACTATTGATTGGGATTGTTAGGTCTTTTGTTGGAGGTGTCAGCCACCAAGCACTCAACCAAAGAGAACAAAAACTTCATTTTATTTCAAATATCAAGAGTTATTTTTATTTATTATAGAAAATATTTAAAGCATTAGATTATTTTGGAAGTTCAAACTTCGAAAACCTAAAAAATGGAGGGAAATTAACAGCTAGGAAAGCAAAATAAGATGGGGACTGAAACCATTGCCAATTAGTTTTCTATCAAGGAATGGTTGGCCCAAAGACTTCCTAATCAAGGCTAAAGCTAATCAAATTAAAAAAAAAATAATTCCGATTGGTTCCATATGAACATAAAAAATAAAGTATAAATTTTAAAATTTTGCCCTAAAATTTGAATTCCGAGCTTTGATTTTTATTGCATTTTTTAAATTGATATGAAGGGGCTTTATTGATGCATGGTTTGATGATGATATGTTAAATCTTGATCTCATATTAAGCATTTGATATTGATCTTCTAGTGAGGGCTTCAGAAGTAGCTTGATGCTATACATCATCCTTTGCATGAAACTTGCGGCAAATGAACATGTGAATCAATACTTAACATTCCTATTTGAAGATTGACGAAAAAAATTTTACAAATATTAGATGAATATTTGTGATGAATCTGAAATACAGTTAAAGTAGATGTAATGGATAAGGAACAGGACTAGGACTCGATTTGATGCACAAGTGAGGGTTGAGTAAAGGCCCCTTGCCTACTTTCAAATTAAAACACATTTAAATGCTCAACAATTAAATATTAAGTAATGTTCATCTGATTTAAAAATAATTATCATGCGAGAGGGAGTCCTCCACTTGTTGATGAAGGGTATGAAACTTATACCCCATCTTGGAGATAGGGCTGTAAAATGAACCAATACACTCGATGAACAACTCGAACTTGACCTGATTTGGACTCGATCATGCTCGTTAAAATTATTAAATACACAGGCTTGAACAATTTTTAAAAACTTGAATCTTAAATGAACTGAACATTGTACGTAGTCAAATTTGTTCATTTATGTTCACGAATACATTTATTGAGATGTTTGATGGAGAAGTACAAAGATAACAAAGAGGATCTACATCTGTTTTTTATTGATTTTAAAAAAATTACGATAAGGTTCCAAGAGAAGTTCTTTGGAGAGTTCTAGAGAAGAATGGTGTTGATATGACTTATATTCAAGTCATTAAAGATAGGTATATTAGAGTTGTTAGTTGTGTTAGAACAGAAGAAGGATTGACCGAGTATTTTCCTATGTTAGTTGGATTACATTAGGGATCGACTTCAAGCCCATATCTTTTTGCTTTAGTTAAGGATGCTTTTATTGGACATTTGCAGGAGGATGTACCCTGGTGTATGCCTTTCGTTCATGATATTTTTCTTGTGGATTAAGACTAGGGAAA